TCAAGATATATGGCATTTTTTCTGAGAGTTACTTAATAGGGTCCACTGAGTAATGGGAGAGACAGGGAGGTGGAGCAGATATGGATCCTTTTGACTACCTCTATCAAGGATTGAGGAGTAGCTCCACCGCTTCCTATGATTCGGCTAATCCGTTGTAGTTGCCGTAGTTGCCGGTAGAGTTTAAACAAAAACTTGACTGCAACATCCGTTGCATTAATTTTTTTGATCCAAACAACTGCTTCCTCAAGGCCAATAAATGGAAATATCTATTTGGTTGATTTAAAACTAAATAACCTTGTCACGATGCTATTTATGACCGGTTACCATAAAATGGTAAGTAGCAGGATAGGTGTGGTTCCCCAGGGCCTACCTTTGAGGTGAAATAAGCATCTTTGCATGAGAAGCTCGTCCATGTGTAGCCCAAAAATAGAAAACATGAGAAATGTTGATTGCATTTAAGGGCGTTAACTACAGCACCAACAACTAAGTTACAGCGGACTCCGCAAAATTCGCGGTATTGTATAGAGGAGGAGGTCAGGGTCCAGGTTTTCGCGCGACAGGCCGCGTACGTATGCATGTGGGTGTGTGCGAGTGCGTGTCTGTCATACCAACTTCAGAGTGCTGCATGTGACCTCCGCTCCTGATTGGTGCGATTTAAGTCACCGTTGCAGCCGCCACGCCAGGAACGTCACAAAGGAGGCCGTGTTTTCGCGTGCCAACTCCATCTACCCAGTGAGACATTAGAAGGGGAGACAAAGAGGTGAGTCGTCCTGACGTTCGTAGTCAGCACACTTTGTAACGGTGATGGTAGGTGCGGGTCACCGTGACTTTCATTCGAAAGATGACATTGGTTTATAGGGTTTAAAGTCGTAATGCTTGCTTAAATCAAGTTTCAGCTTGTAAAAATTGTTTTATGTGCGTGCTTTTCCCGTTTGAGTACTAATAACCACTATCCAATTGAGTTGTGGCCTAAACTTCCCTGGTACCTAAATTTACTACGCTCCCTTAATGATCACCTGGTTTTACACTGAGAGCAGTAAGTCGAAAAAGGTGTTTGCGATGGTTCTACAGGGTTATTAAGGCCTGAAGTTTGTGGGGCCATAGAAATACAAAAAAGGCCTCTGTTTGGGTAAATCACTCTTTGAAGGCGATTGCAGGTGTAAAGTGGCATTCGCCCTTGCATCGTGTCCAGTCACGCCAAATCTTGTCGTCCACTGATTGTTTGAATTTAAAATCGACAGGAAAGTAAGCTTGCGAGTTCCTTGGTCTTGGGGTAGTTCCTCCTTTTTGGTTTAATTCGTCAGAAATAGTTTCACTCGCAGATCCTGACAAAAAATGCACTAGTTTCCTTAGTCACCACTGACGTGGTTTTAAAAAATCATTTAATTTTGACGATATGTAAAATCCACCACAGCGGATAAACATCCTTATTAATCCTATCATTGTCGCCTTTTCAATTCGAATGCGTCTCTTTTGGGTGATCCGAGTTCCCGTGGTCGCTTCGGACAATAGGGAATGAGGTGGGTCCTCTCCCCATAATATTTTACAGTAACCAAGGCGTTATGCTGTGTCTGTTGCAGAACTCATTTGAAAAGAAGTTCGAGAGACACATGGACGGACTTTTAGCCATGTCTTGGCAATCTCGTTCACTAAACCGGATCTGATTGGCGTTTATATGTGCTGCCTGGCTAGTCAGGTGGTCGTTGTGTTTATACCAAGGCTTCCTGTTTACCAATAACCACTTACCGGAAATATAAGACCCATGTAACTCTAAGTGCTTCAGCAGGCGATCAGCCGAATGCACTATGGCAAGCATTGAAGAGATTCTCGAGAAGAACATCACAGACGAAGATGCCAGGAATGAGGTGCAACGCATCCTCTATGGAGGATGGTTGAAGTAAGTTATATCGGAAGCCACAATTACACGCAATACCTCTAGGCGCCTTGATCTGCCACTCAATACTTGTCCAGCTGGTGAGAGCACAGCAAAAGTGGCTGGATACGCCTTCGAACGGTCCAAGGAACAGCTGCGTGCCCCGCGTGTTGTCCGTATCGGTGCAATTCAGCACAAAATCGCACTCTCACCCAGCGCTCCTTTGAAGGATCAGATTTCAGCAGCCCATAAGAAGATTGGGGACATAATTGATGCCGCAGGAGCATGTGGAGTGAACGTGCTCTGCTTACAGGAGGCGTGGAGTAAGTATGGAAAAGCCCTCTGATTCTTCTCCCTTAGCTATGCCCTTTGCATTTTGCACGAGAGAGCGCGTCCCGTGGTGCGAATTTGCGGAGAGTGCAGAGAACGGTCCGACCACCAAGTTCCTCTCGCAAGTGAGTCCATGGCGATTTTCACGCATCTTCACCTTAGTATGCGAAGAAGTATGCCATGGTGATCGTATCACCGATCTTGGAGCGGGATCTCGAATACAGTGAGGTTATTTGGAACACGGCTGGTAGGATATACTGTCATTTTTTAAACTTCTCTCAAATCTAGTTGTCATCGATCAGAATGGAGAGTTCTTAGGGAAGTCGAGGAAGAACCACATTCCAAGGGTCGGAGACTTCAATGAGGTAGGTTTGCGTTTACCTTAATGGCATTGGTTACAAATGTTTAGTCCACGTACTATATGGAGAGCAATCTCGGTCATCCGGTGTTCGACACCATCTATGGTGAGTCAATTCTCCACAATATTCAACCATTCTCTGGTATGCTACTTCCAGTCAACACGTTCATTTGAGTCGAGCAGTCCATTTCGCATCAGGAATTTAATTAAAGCTAGAATAGTTAAGAATCACTAACGAAGTCCTAGTAGATTAAATGCATTTATAACCACCTTAATCAAAGTGCTTTTATAACCACCTTAACCAAAATGCATTTTAGGGAAATTGACTAAAGGAATCCTGTAAACCCAGTCTTGAGAGAGGAGTCCGTTAGAATGAGTTAATGTGCCTCATTTCCATGAAATACGTAGTCTGTGATTCATAACCATATGGCTTTAAACTGAATAACTTGCACCACTGGGTGTGGGTGTTCACAAAGCTCTTCCATGTGTATCCTTGAATCCCGTGTCCGCCTTCACTTTTGCGCATTCATTTCAAGATTGTAAGGCAGTGTATTTATTCCTATTTTCGGTGGACCCTCAGCCAATCATGGTTTGCCCAATCTGACCTCACATTTTGCCTACTTCTCGTGCAATTTTGTCATCAAACCTAAAACCTATGTCAACCGGAGTACCAAGCATCTGTCTTGATGGTGTTTGCTATCATCGTGCTGAACGAGTAGAATAAGTGCAAAACGAAGTACTTTGGTCGTTTTTCAGTTGTGCTAAGTGATATCACGCTGAAAGGGAGCAATCATGCACTACTGGTTGTTTGTTGGTTTGAAAGTGACTGTTTAACGCGCCATTATCCTAATCCGCAATTCCAATTCCTTCGTAGAACTTACATGCACTGAAGTAGGAAAGAAGAGTTGGTGCATAATCATAATTGCGTAGCAAAAAGGTCTAATGCTGCTTTCATAATAAAACACCCGATTATCTGTTCTTTCCTATTGTATTGCTATGTATACAAACAAATGCAGCAATTTAATCATTTAGGGAAGATCGCAATCAACATTTGCTATGGCCGTCATCACCCACAAAACTGGATGATGTATGGACTGAACGGTGCTGAGATCGTCTTTAATCCTAGCGCAACCATTGACGGTCTAAGGTATGTCTTAGCCTCTCCAATTGAGTTGATTTTAAATGTGATTTTCCGCCTTAATTTCTGTGCACAGTGGCGCCCAACTTTATGGGTGGACACTCAACGCACACAAGCTTTGCGACTGGGTTGCATAAACCAGCGCACCACGGTCGTCCATTCTATAGGAGTGCATCAGGCGAATGGTATACATTAACTTATTGACCACGCCCAGCCTCCGATTCTAATCTATGCCCTCCTGACAAGCTAACTACCCGGTGACTTTAACGATGCTTGTCTAGATTATGTGTAGGTTCACCTCCTGAAGGCTCTGGACGCCTATAACTGGGTGATTAGCAATGAGTGCTCCTGTTTTATCTACTCATTAGATAGGGTGTGGAATGGTTAGATGGATCGTGCAGACGATAAAATTTAGCTGAGACGTCCGCAAGGGTCTGTCACGCTTCATCGTGTTTAGCCGAACGCATGAAGTAAAAATAGGTGACAAAAACTTATCATCGGTTTCAACAATTTCTAGTGAATCGCTGTGGCCAATCGAGGCACGAAACGCTGCCATCGCAAACAGCTACTTCACCGTCGCAATCAATCGCGTTGGAACGGTATGCTTGCCGACAAGTTTTGTGCTTTATGGTGGGACTAATGCATCATTCTATCAGCTCCTCTGTAACTGGCTCTGTGATGTCTGTCGAAACGGGTTGGAAACGCATATTAATGGCATTTAACTACTAAATATTTTGATAATGGCCGTGTGTGTGTTATTTGACCGAATTTCGTTTGCATTTGTGGAACAAATAACCCCTTTTTGCAATCCACTAGAAGAGTATTTATTAATTCAAATATCATTTTGCATCTTTTGGAAATGAAGCTGCGATTTCCTTTTGGATATTTCGCTAAACATCTGATCGGGATTTCTAAGACGACCGCCACTGATAAAATTAACACTGGACAAAAAAATAGACAACATACGTAGGCTACGTCTCTGTGGATGATAGCTAAAAGGTGTGGGTGACTTGTTTAAATTTTAGGAGGAATTTCCAAATGAGTTTACAAGTGGTGATGGAAAGCCCTCTCACAGGACTTTCGGCCACTTTTTCGGCTCAAGTTATGTCACTGGTCCCGATGGTGTTCGAACTCCGGTAAGTCTCGTCTTAGGTGCTTTTTATCCATATTTCGTGAAAACGCATTGCCAAAACAATGCCTCTTCTGTGTTGGCGTTTTTTTCTATCTGCTGAAACTCTCAAGTTTTGTTGAAAAATGGTCTTTTGTGCGCTTTAAAGGGGAGGCAAAATGGTCGGTTCCACTTTTGTGCGCCAATATATCGCACCTGGGAAACGTCTTTTTGAGCAGGATAGCTCTCAAAAAAATACTCTTGCTACCTTTACTTTTGGGCAGTCATTAGCTTCATTTTTGGACAGTTTAACTTGCATGTCGGTACCGTTGTGCCTGTAAAGAGGATAATGAACGAAACTACTAACTCCTTATTCTAGGGTCTGGATCGTGTTTCCGATGGTCTACTTGTTGTTGAGGTGGATCTGAACCTCTGCCGACAGGTTCGTGATCACTGGGGTTTCCGGGTGAGATATTTCCGCAAATTTTCTACGATTTCATTTGTTTTTTGCCTAAATTCTTTTGCTGTTTGTGGCGCTGATCCGGATCACAACACCCCATTATGATCATATAGGGTTCAAAATTATTTCTTCTATCAGAATAAATTGACAAATCACCCATAATTCAATTAAATACTTCAGAGCTGTTGAAATGAATATCTTTCTAGGCGTTAAAATTAATCCGTTGCAAATGTCTTTCAATGGGCTATTTACATTTAAAATTAAATCCTTGCCTAGAATTTCGTCTTTATCCTAAACTCGAAAAAAGTAAACTTTGGATATTTATTAGTAGACCAAAGTGTTTTCTTGATAAGGATTTTAGTACTTTAGTCTTTTCCATCAGTGTCTGGAGGACCGTGCTACATTCCAATCGTATGAATTCGTATGTCACAAATATGTGACATGATTGCGCCTAATCGCGTTGGAGGTAGATTGGATGAGGCTAAAATGGTAACAAGGGGCCCAGGATGCTCTTAATGCGCGGTTGACTTTCCTCTGAGATCTTGACACCGAACGTGCTGCTTATTCCACCTAAAGTCTTCAATATTTAATGAAATGACAGATGTGGTCTAAGTATTGTTCAACAATTCTTGTTTTTGCGAATCAACTTCTTTTACTGAAATGTGTCGTATTATTACCTACTGGCTGCACTGTAGCTCTTAGCATGGCTCCTGTTTAATCCTGCCTTGTAACTACTTATTCAACGGCTCAGACAGTTCTTCGTACCTTTTCTGATTTTGCTTTCCTTACCACAATCCGGGTTTCCTTATCCATGTTGATATTGCCAGTCGTTCTCTGATGAAACATCTACTGATTTGGTATATTTTAATGTTTGTCATTTTGGCGCTTGCCAAATTCATAGAGTGGCTGATTTATCAACGTTTGACCCAGAAAACAAATGGCTATTCTGTTTGCCCTTTCAGCTTACGCAGAGGGTCGACTTGTATGCCAAGAGCCTGCGGCGATACGCGCGCAATGCGGGCTACGATGTCGGTGAGTGAGCTTGACACATCGGGCGATACCTCCTTCTTCCCTTCTGGACTGTAGTTTTCACAGCGGACTTTCTCAGTCTCATCCAAATAGAGGCAAATAAATCTGCACACTTTACCAGCCTTTTCCTAAACAATGGCCATTTGAGGGTGTAATATTTTCCTGACTGTTGTTGTGCAATAAGGTGTGACCGTGTTATTGTGTGCAAAGGTTCAATTTGGGTGTGTTTGTACCCAGTGGGGCGGTGCCACCGTTTCCTTAGGCAGACTACATCGAAAGTATTGTGTGTGCATTTCTTATGCAAATTATTGCTGTAAAATAAGTGTTCTGGGTTTACTTTTAATGTCACGGTTACTCTAAAGAAAAGTTGGATGAAAGAAGTCGGCGGTGGATTGACATCGAAGTATGAGGGTATTCCGAGTAAAGTCAGGATCTATAGTTATAGAAAAGGTGCGCTGGGTTTTTGGCGTATTCTGCTACGTGCGATTGTTCTGGCGTTTCACTAACAACCGAAATGTGACGTTGGGAGTGGCAGCTTAGTTGACGCATCACAAGGCAGCTGAAATGGCTTCATCAACGCTGTCAGCGTCCAAAATTGTCTGTTCAGAGATCATTGAGATATTCATCGACACGATTTTGCAGCAGATACCTGCGCCAGTTACTCAACATCGAGCGTTTTGCATTAATGCATGCTGTAATGTAAGCCATTAATCACGGCCGAGACAATAATCGACAGATCAGTAGCTGCCTCTAGAGATTTAGAGCATTTAAATGCATCCATGGTTTTCCTATCCCTGTTGATGAAGACCTTCGTCAGACACCTTGTAACTCTCGTCAACCATTTTGATTAGCGGTACCTCGGTCGGTCTGCGACTTATCTGGCCATCACCGTAGCAGCATCAATTTCTCTAGCTAAATAAGCGCAAAGCTTGGTAGAAAAGACGCTGTCTGATGCCATTCACGCCAAATGGGCATTTAAGATGCAAACCCAATGCCTTGCGAAAGCAAAGCGACACAACTCTGACGTGGATCTACAACCGCATGAGCCCCGTGGATTGTTCCCCGAGTTGGGAGGAATCAGCACCCCACGTGAACACACAACAGGCTTGGGAGTGTGAAAAGTGGCGACTTGCTTCTTAAACGAGTTGTCATTCTGAGGCACTTCAGACAAACCAACAAGAATCTATCTGCACCGCAACCCCTCCTCCGTGCCGCCTTCATCCTCTACTAAGCGTGTACTGATGGAGGACATTGGCATTCACTTTGAGGAGACGTTGGAAGGTGTCCTCTCCAATTAGTTTCGACTGCATGCTGAGGTGGGTGGATTGCACTGGTCGGATTGACATCGACAGTTGCGAGGCGTTAGGTGAAAAGAAGAAAAGATTTGTCGGCGGACTGTTGACGAGCTATGGGAAATATTGCTAGCAAAAGTAGAAGGTGGGAGTTCAAGAAGTTATTTAACTAATATTGACAAGGCCAAGCAAATTAGACAACCACATAAAGTTGAAATTGAAGGACAGAGTCACCTGACTCCGATTTTTCGAGGTCTGTGCGAAGCCCAACAATGCAGCTACTTCTGCAGATGCACAGGCATTCATCACCGAAGACAGACAAGTGGAAATAGCAGAATGAAGGGGAAATGAGATGACACTTTAACCAATAACGGAGAAAGACATGTCATTGGCACATTGCATTCACGAGAAGTGGAGAGGGGAAGGGGACCCCAATGAGGTACGCGTGAGCACGCACCTCGAGCACGGCAACAGTCGAGGTAGGAGTCCGTGCGAAGGAGTGAAACGGCTACGCAGGCAAATGGCCCCCACGAATCATGGTGAATGCTACGCAGTGCAGCTGATTTCTCCAACTTGAGCCCCGGGTAGGCAGGACAGAACAGCACAATTAGATGAGGAGGATGGGGAGCACCCAAGTCAATCTCTGCATTCTAAGTCACATGCTTACTTGCAACCTCGTGTTTGTCGTCACAGTCATTGTGCTTCTCAGTGATAATAAGTTGCATGACACCAAATCCTCCACTATTCGATGTTCAATTCCAATGTTTCTTGCCAGCGTCACCGATTTGTGGTGACTGGCTTGACGTATCGGAGTGTGATCCCATAGACTGCGTAATTACGTGCCTCACTCTTCAACGGTTTATATTACGATAGCTGTTGGCACCAAATGGTGTCGACGTGGACAGATTGGGTGAGTTTAGAAAAAGACAGTGGAGGTATGCTCATGGTCCAGCGATTGGCGATTGCAGTGTTGTATGCACATCCTACAGCATGTTGATGAAAGCCAGTGTCATATGGTAATGATGGAGCGTTGGAAGTGCGGTGATCGGCTCTCCTTCGAGGATTGCAGTGGCAATTGTGGTGAAGTGACTTACGACTGACGGGTAGATGTAGAGGATGAGATTTCCGTGTTGGTTGGAGTTTAAAATGCGGTTGCAGCCACGATGCTGTGAGCGAATTTCAGTTGTTGAATGACAGTGTATGGAGCATGGAAGTGGACGAGAGTGTTGTGTTGGCGATTTGGGCGATTTCCGTGACGCATCGCCGACAACGATCGAGGTGGTGGAGGTCGATTGAGCTGGCTAGTGGGCAATACTGACACACAATTTGGTGCACCACTCAAGCAGACTCGGTCGGAGATTCGCACTTAAGTTTTTCCCAAAAGCACGATTCTGTGGCATAGTCTTGTACCCGGCATATTACGGCCATCGTTTCTTCGCTTTCCTGATTGCTTGTTGTCCGTGGAGCCAAGACTTTGGTAGCTGCAGTGCAAAACGGTCCTATGGGTGGGTATGGAGACACCCAGAACACAATGAAAAGATCGGCGATGGGAGGTTTGAAATTGAGGCAGATGTATTTAACTTGTAAGTGTGGATGAGGAGTTCGAGACCCTTTTTATTACACATTGAGCAGTCAATCGACAGATGACAGGCAGTTTTTGCGCAGATCAGTAAGCGGATTTAGAAGGAGAGAACAAAATTAGTGGAAAATGCAAGCGGGAAGAATTGTGAGGGAATTCACAAAATGCTGCGTAGTGGCTTGAGACTTGCCTGAGTGTGGTGGAAGACGAGGGAGTGTGGTGGAAGAGGTAGTACTGACGTGCAGAAGAGTTGAGGCTATCGGCATGGCTCGGAGTCCATGCCGATGAGTGGAGGTACAAAGTAGGAGAAGGTGCTTTTCAAACCACTGAAATGTCAAGCAAATTGTACAGCATGAATGGGCTGCCATGTATTTGTGCGTGGTGGAAGAAACGCGTCGAGGGTGTTTCACTAGAACGCATGATTTGAATTCCTTATCATCGAAAGCATGACCATGCCTTCATATTCGCACAGTTGCCCTACAGCGCAGGTGTGTGATTAACACATCTGTTGCCTTGGTTGGAGGAGATGTGGACAATCATGGACCAGACGCCTTGCTGTGCCACAAGGACGTCAGGTGTCGGTAGTTGTCACCGAGTGAATAGGCGCTATCAGCTGGAAAGTGCAACTGTCATGAAGTCAAGGGCATCCCGCGTCGATGTGGTTGTTGTTCCAAACACAACCGATCTGTTTGTGGTATTACTTGATGCTGCCATTTACCACAAACGATACTTCCGTTCGAGGTCGGGGTCAGGGATGAGGGATTAGGGGGAGGAGATTGGGGTGTCACACATGTGTCAAGTGTTAACTATTCAACAGAAATGTGGCAAAATATATGGCGACCAGAAGTTTAGCTAAAAGAGAAGGCCCTGGAGTCAGAGCTGATGTCGTTTCTTTTAGTGACCGGGTTAGTTCTCCTAATGCTTGGTAATAAATGTTGATTGACTACACAGAGCCACAGGTAAGACCTTCTCCAAATATTTGTGCGTTGAAGTGACTACCCCTGCAACTTTTATAGACCGTTTTGGAGCTAGAAACAAACAGTTAAGGTATATTTACCTGCATTCCTATCTCGCTTCTCCTTTCTACCCCTCTGTCTATTTCTTACGTGATCGTCACTGGAAGGACGATGATGTGGGTAAGGATAAAATTGATGATTTATATGTTGCACTGCTCTCTAGGAATGAGGAGTCTTAATTATGCTGACCGATTAACCACTCCTAGGAGGATGATGATGATGCAAGTTAAGAAGAAGAAGACAACGGCGACAACGAAGACCCCTGGTGAACATGTGTGCTAATTATGGTGCATCACGCCAGTTTGCAACTCAGGAAAGGCGTTTCAGGCATGGGTTGGCGCCCCTGTAGAAGTGGGGTGTAAGCAGTGGGAGAGAAACGAAAGTGTGGAATGCTTTCATTGCTGCGTTTATTGATTTAATAAAAGTTGGGCTACAATATTAAGGAGTGCAACGCAATGCATTCCACTTCTCGGTCGAAAACAATCCACGTTGTGTTGTGATATCGTGAATTTACTCCCTCACGTATTCAATCTTTCACTAATATCAAATATTTTAACACATGCAGGAGGCACATTTAACCTTTCATACTATGTGGCGTGCTTTTAGACAGCTTTTAATACTTTTTTCTTAATAACTTCACGTAAGATGCTATTTCTTGAAATGCTATTTAAGCGCAGTAGTGTTTTGTGGCGCCCGTGAACGGGGGATCGTGAGGATAGCCGCAACACGAGAACACTTGCTTGATGTTTGTGTGTCCTCGTTTAGGACAACCATTGGGGTTGCTCGAGGTCAGCGAAACAACCACCAATGATTGAGCAGCACCTGCATCCGTAGTATGCACTCTTATCGATTTTCGATAGGACTAGTTTAGCGCCGTCCCGATTAGCGATGACTCAGGCGCGCCGGTGGCCATGCTTTTCTATTTGGGCCTGACAAATGACATATTAGGGAACGGGGTCTCCGAGGCGATAACTGCTACGCTGGGAAAAAAAGGCGCATTTTTTAAACTTTACCGCCGTAGATTTGAAAGGTCTATCGCACCTCACGGCGATCACACCACTTCAAGTCAAGCCCACAAGAGCTTTAAAAGAGGGAGAGCAGATATCGATATTTTTTATTCTTTACCCATGACGATGATAGGAAACAGATCCGCAAATGTAATGGTTGATTGATCCACAAAATTCAATGAGGAGGAAGTCCGAGTAACCAAAGATGCTAAAATTGTAGTTTCTACTTTTTTTCAATCGATAGAACTGTCAACACGAGATCCTCAAGATTGAACATGGCTACCAAAGCACTAAAGTTGACAGTCAACTTCTTGAGGACCTCTACCCTCATCATGAGGAATTATTGCTAGGTTGATGTCCCCCAGCATATAGAGCTACACCCCACGCGCCCACTAAATGGTAAACGGTTGAAGTGACCGATCTACCCGTTGCTGTCTTACGGAATAGATACACTCTGATTTAAAATACCCCAAGAATATGTGCTTAGATTAAAAGATTAAGAGCAACACCATTTCAACCTCGACCGTAATCATTCAGATCTCTCAAAACCAAAACAAAGGAAATACTATGCTTAATACTTCCAGTTTCGTCACTCATAGGCCACCGCACCAAAAAACATTGATATGAGGGAACGTGACCGGTCATGTCTCAAGAAAGTACCACCAAGGCAAGCAGCCATGGTGACGCGTTGCACATCTGGTCAGACAGCAGGTGGTTCAACAGCCTCCATTCTCCCATTGTCATTTATTTTCCAACTGCAGCGTTTAAGCCTCTGGGTGGGAAAAGCGTGAAAGGCGTGACACAGTGAATGAAGGGTCCGTATCCCACATAGTGTATAGTAAATTTTATGGGTCTCGGGGACTTTCCCATTTCGGGGTGAGGGACGGTGATGACTCACAGCAAAGGAACATCTATTGCGTATACTTTGCCAACCCATTTCCACTAACATCTCGGTTGCACGGGTGGGTGCTCAAGTCTGCAGCCTCCTACCATTCCATCTACCCTCCACTTCTGGTATGTTTTATTGAGTTTTTAAGAATGACTCTAAAAGCTACACCTCATTGTTATCAAAATAGTTTGAGTAAATCCCCCTAGTGTATAGCCAGCCTTTCCATTTAAGGGTCTATTTTGAGCATTATATTTTGTTGCCATTAATTGTAGCTTATCTGACGCCACATTCTTTATCTAAGGTGATGAAGTGGCCTTCAATCTATAAACTACAGTGAAACTTGGGTTACCCAGCTTACTGGTCATCGGTGTACTTTTGTTAATTACCCCACAAAATCCTGATTTTCTTTTAAAAGATTTTCCAATCTCTGTAAACAGGATAAGACTACATGAAAATGTGTGAGGATAATCGAAGGTCTAAACTCTGCCACTTTTATAATGAACATTACAGACTAGGTGAATGAAATAAGAGTTAGAACCTCCTATAAATGAACACTGGGGACTGCAAAAAAACGTGTGAATGAGGACGTATACCAGTCTCAGAGGTAGTCTGATGAGTGACTGGCGGAATTTGCCGAGCGATGGCGATGGTCTGATCTGAAAGATCCATTGCTCCCCTTAGGAAGTCTCTACGTACAGTCACTCTTTGCTTGGGACATGAGTAGACTACAGACAAATCAGTTTAGGGCAAAGTGAAAATACCAAATTACGAGGGACCAGTGACATTAACACTGGTCCCGCAGTCACAGTGATTCGGCTAAGATACAAATGCTAATCGAAGGCATCTAAATACCGGTTGGATGAGTGGTTACACAGATGGGGACTCCTGCAGCGGCTTAGTATCAGATAATTGAACGGGACCAGAGAGCTAAAAAATTCTTCAGCAAAAAACCACAAACATTAATTTTTAATATTCTTAACTGCAAACAAGCAATCACGCTTATAATTAGGGTGGGATTTGATGAAATAGGGCGGAAGTAAGTTCAATTTTCTACCTTGTTGAGCACACAGCGGACTCGATGACAGCAATGTGAATCAAAGATTCGACATAAAACAAAAAGTTTGAGAACTATATCACAAATGGGAGTGTAATGCTTCGGAATTTTGTTTATTTATGCAGTACGATCCTAAGGAACTTAAGCCTGCAAAGATTATACTTCCGCTCGCTGGCATGACCTTCGGGTTATGCAGGAGTCTCTCGTTTTGTGTTGGCAATATATTTTCTAATGTAATACCTGCCTTCTTACGACTGTAAGAATGGGCCATGATACTACAGCACAACCAAAAATAGTTGTCCTTATGACAGAAATTAGTTATTAGAGATTTTTGGCTTAACCTGTAAACAAGGTCAGGACGAATTATTTAATAAAAGACTGATTTTAAGTTATTTTAACTAATCATAGCTCTTAAGGCGACTAAATGATAATTATGCTCAATGCAACCCCATAATTTTGGGCTATTTTGGAAGTTTACAGCCCCTTTGCTGCGTCCCATAACTCCTTAAAGAATCAGCCTCTGATACTCCACAAACGACTCAAATTTTACCGTTCGAAATTTCAAAAAAGTGGGCGAAGAAACATGTTGCTAAACAGACTATGCTTTTTAAAATGTAATTACTGTATCTGTTTTATGGAATTAAATGACCTATAGTCCCTTCAATTTAATTATGTCTATACTTAATGCGCACGCAAGTTTCGACCCGAATTTGATGTTTGACGAATGCACTAAAGATGATGAGGATGGAGAGGAGGTATAAGTTATTCTTTTGTATATTCAGATATTTATGGCGATATGCTTCCAGGGAAACTCCTGTGGCATTGCATTTTCCTCGCCTAACGGCGTTTTAAAATGCGTCCCGGACTTTCATGTTAGCCAAAACTTCAGTGATATTTTGACCGGTAATACGTGCTTTTTGAGTGATTTTTAGTTATCTTGGATGTTAACCCCTGTTTGATCATTGGGACAGAAAATTGTTTGAGAACCATTAATGATATTACTTCCCAAAACGGATGTATGTTTTTTTTGCAATTTTATTAGTTCTAGTTAAGACATTCGTTTTGCCAAGATGTTCAGTGGGTAAGTTTACTTAAGTCTAATTGTGAATAGACTTTGACACATGCATTCAACGCGTCGGCCTGATTAAACTCCCATATGCACCATCCTTTGTTGACGAAGGAGAAAATGCAAATTACATAATGTCACTTTTACCAGGCGATGCTCCACAGATGGTGATTTGTTACACTCACTCATGGTTGATGTAGATAAGAGCCGCTGGAGCTCTACTGGATTACCTATCAAAACGGCTGTCACCGATTGAAGCTTTTCCCAATGCCCGTTTCGAAAACATCCTTGATATACAGCTTTATTTGAGGCATGCATTCACATATCTTATTTTTTTTAGAAAACAGTATGTGTACATCGATAGTGCTACCCTTATTCGACTCCAAGTTTTTGATCCATCAATTTGTGTATCAGGTTCCAGGATTGTAAATTCAAAGCATTCACAGGATACCTCTGAGTTAACCCTGTTCGGTACGTTGATCTGTCAGAATTATTCAAGCGAACACTGCCCTGAATATTTGTCTGTCGAATACATGCGACGTAAACTTGTATTAACACCGACTTTGCTGGAGTGTCTTATTATTATTTTACCAGCTTGTACTGAAATTTTAAGTTTTTTACTTAAATCGCTAAGTCTTCAGTAAAGACCAGTTAAGTAAAGCACGGGGTAGCTTAAGAGAGCTGCTTTTACTATCAGATCTACAAATTTGTTTGAAGGAGTTGTTATTTATCATTTTGGCTAAATGGAGTTATAAAAACAATAGTACTTTTGTGATATATAAATGTTTAGTTGACTAAACGATGCTGTTATCGGTCCATAAAATCTTATTTCTGACTTTATGTGCTTCTTCTTAAAATTCTTCTTAGTATTTGGAACGGTACATTTTAGGTATCGGTAGTTTGGATGTTTTGTAGATGGGGTGGCATTCAAAATAACTCGATTTTCAATAGTTTTTTGTTCATTTGTGCAATCCAGATTATTTGAACACATGTTCCTCCACACTCGGAAGTCGCCTTTTGTCAAAGTGGTTGAGGTTTCCTCTAAAAGATGACGAAGAACTTCATCGACGACAATATGCCGTAGAATTTCTTACCAAATCAGCAAATAGGGGTCTCCACAAGTTGCTGTTGAGCTGCATAAAACGTGTCGGCAATATCCAGGTTGGTGCTCCATTCCACCTAGCTAAACCATATCTACTTAAACCATTTGAGCAGAACAATCGTTTCTTCGCATAGCGTGTGCTGTCTAAAATGCATACCTCAGCTGCGGCGCCGAATGAATGGAAAGTGCTGCTACAGACACTGCAGTCCTTGAAGTCGATCATAGACGCCTGCCGTCATCATCCCGAATTGGGTGCACCCTTTGACAGTCCTGAAAACGCCTCTTCTCCATGTCTGATACTTTGTTCTCTGCTAGAAAAGATCATCGAAACAATTGATATGTCTTCAACTTCCTCTCACAAGCGCTTCATTGTCAAACAAGGGCATCATGCATGGTTAGATGAGTGTAAGTCTTTTTGGTGCAAAAAAAGTCTTTACACACAATGAATATATGCATTAGTGTCAATGTTTCTGTGTTCCAGGGAAGCAAATTTACAGATGCCTTCCGGATATTTTGAGTCGACTGGCTGAACACGAATTGAATCGTCTAAGAGGTCATGTTGACGCCTGTGGTTTAATATACTTCCCTTTAGTACGTTTTAAGTATATCAGTTTATTCACTCATTCTTGGTGAATTGAGACCTATTCTGTTCATTATTCTGCATTCGATTTGACCTTTGCGTCAGTCTGATGCTGAGAAATCGGCTTCATACATTATATGATTAGCTGACTGTTTAAGAAGCACTGAAAGATTTTTAGTGAGTTTTTACTGCCAGCAGCTAAGGATTGCCACATCGTCAGTATTAACTTTACAGATAGAAAATCTTTGGAAGCATGCCGGAAAGGCGCCCAACGTAACATGTGCAAAGTGACCAGGACATCACGCATGCTCGTTCTTTCCATGCACTAAATTTAGTTTAAGCTTGTGGTTAGTGAAAATAATCAAAACATACTGTGATGCCTGTGTTTCCGTCGAAATTATGCAAAGAATGTGCAATTTGCTTAATGGAGTAAATGATGAGAAGGAAACTAGGGAAATCTTACTACATTTTCTTACCAATCCTTTCACACTTACCTCAAAGCTTTTTTCAACGAATTATGCTATTTTATTTCGCACTTTGTGTTTGTTACAAGTTTTTCGACTGTTTTACACCAGTGTTTTAAAATCGTTTACAGCCACAAAAAAAATTACTTGGAACAATTGAAGGCCCCAAACACATCCAAAGTTTCCCACTTTAAGTGTAGATGATTTAAATTTGCACCGAAGTATGTAGAGTGACAGCAAACCAGACATTTTTAAGAGTCTATTAAGTGCTGTAGCGGAAAGCTAATGTGTACAAGTCTCCTGAGACTAGTTATAAAAGACTGAGTAGCAAGGTAATAGAATGAGTGCGCTTATAATAGCCTCCACGAGTATGGTCCCCAAATTCTGGAACTTTATCCAAACTGAAGCTTCCATAATAGCATATAACTAGGGAAACCCTGCGTCCATGCATAAGTTGGCCTAATGACGAGATGGGTAAAATTTTATTCAATCTAAAGATACGAGTGGTACCACTGAATTGCGAAGAGGCAAGATCAGATCGTAACAGGTTGTACCACGAGTGCATTTTGGACAAGCCTTTAAAGTGTTATTTCTGTCACAAATTTTACCGTTTTTCTTCCACAGAAATAAGCTTTTGTTGGAGAAAATACGAAGAATGCACATGTTTCAGTTTCGTATCATCTTTGGTACCAGTGTGGGCTAAATGTTTCTCTTTGTCTCCTTAACTAAATGCTTGGCTGTGCTTTCGCTTGCAGCAAATGCTTAAAAACTTTGCAATTATATGGTTGGATTGAATTATTTTACAACCTGGCTAGCCATTTACAACGGTTCTTGTGTAATCCCTACGCATGTGTGTTGTAGGTCGGATATCTTTTGCAAATTCCATCTTCTCAAGCTTCTGAAGAGCTACAAGAACTGGGTCTGCAATATATTGTGAGTTACAGGGGGTGAATCGACTTCACGGATAGAAGGTTATGTTTACCACTCATTTCTTTTCTCTTTTTTTAGTTTACAAACGGGGAATTGGCATACTACCGAACCGCAACGACTAAAGGTTCAATGAGCACTTTTGATTGCCTTACAGAACCATTTTTTAGAATTGGATAAGCGTTACGGCGATGTCATGTACGCAATATTGGGTACGTTTACCTCTTCATTCTGTTCATTCTAATGCCTGGAGTAGTGCGTATCTATTCGTGTTCTCTGTACCTCAGTCCCGAGAAATGGACGCCTCTTGTTCACATAAATAATTTTGGTCACAAATGACATCATAATTGCGCGGTGGGTGTTCATGGACTGCGTAACTCTGGATCTTCGCATTAACCGTTAGGGCTTATTGCATATCGTTCTTTCCATCAACTTTTGAAAAAAGAAGGATATTCTTTAACCGAAAAAGAATATTTCTATCTCGGTCATTCAAATTTTCCTATTGATCTACGAAATACGTGCGATAAAAGTGGGACAAAGTACCTGGCAAAGAAAAATGCACCCCTTACAAGCTTATCATACACTCAGCCTTGAGTGTTGAGGTTGCTAAGCCACAAGTCACAGAGGCGTGTTACGTAAAATCGTACGCATGAATACAAGCAACCTCAGTCTACATTAGAGCCGGTTAAAAACTGTTTGATTATTTTGAGCTGGCCAATTAATATATTTGCAGAGAATGAGCTTACTAAATCTCAATGACTCTAAATTAAGTTACTATTTCCGTTAAGCCTACCCATATGTGCAGGTGGCTTATTGTCACGCGAATGCACTATCAGGTGTCTAGTCAAATGATGCGAAAAGCCCGAAGTACATAGTTCTTTTCAAAAGTGCTGAAAAAGTGTAGAATAAAGAGCAAGGCGTAGTGGTGCCTGCTTCGGCCTTCTGTGGAGTGAAATCCTTTGATGGACTAGTAAATCTGACAAGAGAGCGATTTACAATTATAATTGTCACTCAGACAATTTCCCAATTGCAATAGGATTTTAAGAGTTATCTGGTTCTGTTTTAGCCAATTGAAAATTTGGTTTTTTAGGAAAATCCATCAAACTTGTAAAATGTACTCTCAGTAAACATTGAAAATATGTCTGTACCGTACAATGAAGCTATAACCGATGGGTCTACTAATTACACACATTGATGATAACTAGTGCTTAAAAGCCAGTCCCCCAGTCCAGCACTTTGGTAATAAAGAATGGTCCACATGAAGGTACTTAAGCAACGCGCATGTAATGAACGCAAAATGTTAGACTCCAAAGTACTCCTGAGTACTAGCGACCGTAGTCTAGATAGATTTAATTAACTTTGGCTTAAAACTTGATGCCCGTTGCAGATCACGACGGCATCACGCCCACCTTTTCCGAGCAGATCCTGATTACCTGTGTCTGAATGGTCGTCACGCGTGAATTGAGGCCAGAGGATGTGTAGTAAACGTCAAATACGTGCATATCTTGTAAGTAGGTAGAGTCGTAAGCTGAGTAGCCTAGTAAATAATGTACTCCCCCATCTAGATATGCCTCTAAAAAGTTGGTAACTTTGTCGGAAATAACTCTTCGCTCACGGACCTCTGACTTGTTGCCTTTCTAACAAATTGTAAGCCTGCCTACCTTACGTGTAAATCGACTAGATATTCTCCCATTGTTTACTAGCAGTAAAACTCCAAATTTCGTCTATTATCATGCACTATACTGACAGAAATAAGTGCTTATCCTTGTCATTTTGTTCGCCTCATCTGTCTGATACTTACATGCAGCAAATGTGATCAGAATATGAATAACTGTTTTTGTATTCTTAAAATTTCTGATAAAGAAGAATGCTTCTTCCAACTGTTCAATATTATTTTTTTACTGGCATTGAGCTCTAAGACCCAAAATATATAAATGGGACCAACTATTTTAATAGTAGTCCCCTGAATCTGGACCCTGTTTAACAAGATTTGAACTGGAATCTTGGGATGCGACGTTTGTGGATTACCCACAAAGCACGTAACTATTGTCCATTTGGGAAATCTACTATATTACAGGACTTTTTACTACATCTCACCTAATTTAAGCTTTCTGCACACCTTTAAAGTCCGCTTATGCGTCCAGCTTATTGTTACGCCGATTTGATGTCAAGCGCGGAGTTGAGATATTACATAGAGAGAAGTTGGACGTACGCAAGTGGTCTGCAAATCTACCGACGGAGCGTTCTAGGCATTGTTTCGCTTTCCTATACTGCTAACCTCTCAGAAGACTAGTAATTCTGCCTTAAATAACCTCCAGTCACAGTGGTCACTTTGTCGGCTGCTCAATAACTCCAAACTGCGCACTCCTGTCCGGTAAGAAAAATGACTGCTGAATACCCAGGTCACTACCTTCATCTGACTGCCAAAAGCAGCTGGTAGCCAATGGGCCAATTTTCCAGTCCCGGTCTCTTGACAGACTGCTACCTTTCCCAGAGGTTTGGCTAACTGACTTAAATGAGGTTTGTGATGGGCCACGAGTGTCAAAGTCTGAAACGCACACAGAACATCACAGTAGTCCTACTTAACATTATGGGTGTTCAACGTTAGTCTGCATCTGATACTCGCATCTTGCGGTGCCACTTTCTATAATCAGTGTGAGTGTCGTCTTGCCTGCGACAGTCAAACGTGTTTACTGTATATTAACTGAAACAAATTCTAACTGTTAACCATTAGTGCCTGCTCACACGTTAATTCACAGTTAGGTTTCGGGTCAAAGCGTTGCGCAGGGAAAAGTAGGATGAGTACAGGTTAATATTTGTTCACAATCGGGAAGCAAAGGGCAAACCGACGAACTGAGCACCCCAGTGGTCGGTCCGCTTTCCCCTCCACTAATTTCTTCAATGGACTAGTAATTTGATCTAAGGAGCCTAATTATAAGCGATGTTTCGTTAACTTCCCAAAAGGTGAAAGTTCGGAAGCTTGCATGGCTCAAATTGAAGACACTTGAATATGACGTTTCCTTTCAGATGCTGAAACCTCGATTATGCACGAGCTGCAAGAAGAAATTTTAAAGGCAGCTAAGCCACTCCTACGGCTGCTTGATTTTGCCACTGAACTGGATTGGTAAGTTGGGACGCAGGGATCTGTTGACAGTTAATTCCTCGCATTCATCAGTGCACTAAAAACGGCTCAGCCGATAGATATTGAGGTCAAGCACACTGAAATCTAGAAATGAAGGTTCACCCTCAGTGGTGTAAACTAAACAGCATTCTACAACCCAGCAGTTAGAATTGTACTTTAGACTGTTCTATGAATAAAAAATGCATTTTCTTCTGAATAGCATTTGTGCTCTAGCGGCCGCGGCCATACGGATGAACGGTGTCAAGCCACGAATGGTCTCGAGAGGCTCAATAAAGATTCAGAGGGGCCGAAATATTCTCTACGAGACACTTCATACCAACTACCAAACAAACTCGTTTGCCTCACCAACGGAAAAGGGTAGCGTCACCCTGGTGACTGGGCCAAACGCAAGCGGTAAGACTATGTTCATAAAGCAGGTAAAGGACACTCCCCAATGGTTTGTGCCCACTAGACATGTGTACGAGGCATGACGACTAATTCTCCTCGCCAAAGATCGGCCTGATCGTCTACCTAGCCCACATTGGTAGCTTTGTACCAGCCGACTACGCAACCACACCGCTGATGGACTCAATTCTGGCACTTATGCCAGCCGAAATAGAGAGGCAGCCAAAGACACAGGGATACCTTGCCGACGCCAGCTGGCTTGCCATGGCTCTTCGCCACGCCAGCGCCAATTCTCTGCTCCTACTGGATGAATTCCCCTACTTTTCCGACCAGGTCCGAAGGGCAGACTTACTTTACGAGCAATCTCTTTAGGTGGCGAGAAAGTCCCTGTTCCTCGGTTTTTTGGAGTATATGAGCCAAAGAAGCTCACCTCATATAATAGTAACCGGATTGAATATGAACTGGGCGAAAACACTACTACGGCCACTGGCGCACAGCATAAATCTGAAGGTATTGAAGTAATCAGCCCCACAGTTCTTTGCCAGAAAATGCGCACAACCAGCGACGCTAAGGGACCCATTTTTCTGCATGAAGTGGCGCCAGGCATCACTGACACCAATTACGCATTAGAAGTAGCGAGCAGCGCGGGTATACCCACGGCGGTGATAGCCACAGCAGCTCAAGTTGGCAACTCCTTTCACAGCTTATCAGCTCTTAGAATTCATATAAAACACACCGAGCAGACACAGACGAGAAAAAAAGAGGCACCAAGTAAGTAGTAATTATTAAAAGGTATGTACAAAAATGCAGACGCCGCAAACTTTTGAAAGAATTGATCGGAATGGATCTGAGCGAGTTCACCAATAAAACTCGGACATTTTTTGCAGAAACACTTGAAATCTAAATAAACTATGTACACAAGCAATCTTATTGGAAGAAGGGGTGTTCCAACGCTTCCTGGGGAGATATTCTAGCGTCTGGATCATAGACAAGCATTTCTCTGACGAGATCAAGAGCAAGTCTGGCGCTAAGATCACCAGTGGAAAGCCAGAGGTCACCTAGGGGCTTGACATGCCGCCGCACATACCGTCCATCCGCACTGTTAACGTCCCAATCCAGCCGGCCACGCCTGAAGTACCGCCTTCTCCGACTGCTCCTGACCATGTGCTTGGGCAAAGGACCGAGGAATCGCTCCATCATTGCCAAATGCTCAAGGTTATCATGGGTCATAAAGAGGCATTGACCAGTTACTAGTTCATAAATAATACAACCGACAGACCAGACATCTGCAGAGTATGACCACCCACATTCAAGAATGACTTCAGGTGCCCGGTAATGCCTCGTCTGGATGGTGGTAGGGCGTCTTTCACCCTCCATAACAGCAGATCCGAAGTCGATGACTTTGACTCGAGGATCGCGTACAAGGCAAACACTTCTACCTCGTTTATCATTGTAAACTGCAGTGAACTCAGAGGAGACAAACATGATGTTTTCTGGCTTAAGATCCGTATGACAAATTTTCAGTTTGTGCATGAAATCGACGGCTTCACAGAGTTGACGAGAAATAGCGATAACATAATCGATGGGATAGGGCTCATAATCATTCCGCTCAAGTAGGTTGAATACGCTAGTGCTTAGCAGGGGGAAAACGATATAGTAATGCCTGTGCCAGTCAAAAAAGTCAATAGTTTCAATGCAATTAGAGCGTAAACTACGATCAGCCTTAGAGATGGTATCAAGGACATCCACCTCGTGCTTCGCCGCCTCCTGGTAGTCCTCAAGCCTTTTCAACGCCTTAACTGCCACTCGTGAGCGCGTGTGAAGATCAAGACATTCCAGAACCTGTCCGAAGCTGCCCTCACCTAGGACCTTACGCACCTCGAATCGTCGTTTGATGACCTCCCCGAGAGGAACGACAGCCGAGGCCGTGCCGCGCTTGTGATGCTCGTGGCTCTCTCTGCGCTTGGCTCTCTCTTTGCTTCGCCGCTGGCGCTTGCGCTTGTGACTGGGGCGAATGGAAGAGTGATGATCGGAACCACCGTGTTTCCGCTTCAGCGTCGGAGAGACGTGACTAATGCTCCGGCCGCGATCGCGGGACCTCTCAACCGAAACATGAGACTCAGGGCCACCGTTTAGGAAACGAACAACCGGGCTTGAGGAGTTACCGTCGAGGAGGTGATCGTCTCTGCCATTTTTAATCGTTGCACCAAGCCGTCGAGACTTACGGGGAGATAAAGCGGGCGAGCTAGGCCTGTGCCTGTACCAACAGGGACAAAAATCACAACATCTCAGAAAATTCAAAAACTGTTACCTGTAATAGAACTAAACGCCAACTAATCAAACCCCTGGATGGACGAGCTATGGAACTTGAAGTGCCTATGGGTACCTGGATGCGAACAGACGCGTTCGAGAAAAGTACAATGAGCCACAAACGCAAATTGTATTACGAAAGTACATAGACACATAGAAATACCTTTTACGAACATTCTCAAAGTAAGTTTTCTCAGACTGAGAACATCCATAGCTTGAAGAATAATTTTTTGAACCTGAAGAAGACAATTTCGGCTTGTGATTAGATGTGGTGGAAGAGGTCGCAGAAAATGACTTTGACGAGTCTGAAATTTCATGTGTTGTAACGTCACGGAACCGAAAATCATAGCAGCATCGATGGTTGCTATTGGAACGATGATGACGAGAAAGACCCATTGAAACCCGCCCTACAATGATGAGCGAAAATGAAACCCGGGTGTACCGATTAAAACAAAAAAACAATAAGTACAAGGATGCACTACTATTATAAAAAAATACTTTGTGCAAGTAGCTACTATTCAAAAATTTGTCAAAATAAAAATAAAGCATTGATTAAATAATTTTAAATGCGGCAAGCATTATCAAGAGATGACCTAATTAAAAAATATTTTTATGGTAGCACAACCATGTGCCAAAGTGCAAATACCATGAGATACGGTAACTTACAAAAGGGCGCTTTTGCCTTTGCAGTTATCAGATGCGGTACTATCAACTTTCATCGTAAAATTGAGCAGTTATGTTGATGCAATTTTCAAAACTTTTAAATGTTATTGTAACTTAAATTAAATATGCAAACTACTACTCAGCAACGCTTAGATGTGGTGTATTTTGCCTGTTGCAATAGATTATATCTCTGTGATGTGGCGCATGTAGTGTTACTTATTATCATACCGTTTACTGTGTTTGAATTATGTAAAAGAGCTTTTCCTTAGCGCAGTGGTGCTGTTTTTTTAAAATTGCATTAAAGCGTGTAAATGCTATCATGCACCTAATTTGGTGTTAATCCTATTTTTAAAGCGGCATTTATAAATCTCTATATCTATTTTCGTGCCCCAGAACAACATTACGCCGTTTACTTAATTACAAACAAATTCGGCAGTTCAACACAATTTCACGCACATTGACCTTTTTTCCAATATTTATGCTTTGTATTTGATATGCCACTTTTGAATATTACTATGAGCAACAATTTATTAATGGAGTACCCTTTCTCAGAATTTAGTATTCTAAGTTTTTTTTTGTTTTTTGGCAGTATTTAGTGCCAACAAGTGGTCACAATCTTTGACTTATTAGAGTTTTCTCACTTTTCTTTGCTCTGATGCTTTGGTCAATTTCACAAAACATGCAAGCCTTCGCTAAACTTTCAATTTGGGGTTTTTATTAGGCTTTATTTTATTAATGTCTTTTATCTCATTTTTTGCCTAAATATATTATTTTGTATAATCCAATTTGGCTTACTATCTTACTTTTTGAGCATACTTTTTGTAGACCGGATTATATCTATGTTCTAATGGCCCAAATAAATAGTGACCCTTCATTAAACCATTCAGAGGAAGCAGCTCACTTCAATCTTGGCTCAAATGGCTTGCATTACTACGTTGTGAAACCTTGTCCGATAGAGCAGTCACGAGCCAATTCTCCACTTTTTGGATTCTATCACTGTCAAACATGCAAGCTACTCCTAACTGTTCGTCAAGATCTCTCTCGACTGGCTGTTGTCTGTTCTAGGTGCTTTGAAGCTACAGTAATTGCTTTCTCTTTATGCATTTTCCATTTCTGTTATTTACATGACAGAAGTGAGGAGATACCATTTTAAGGGAACGAGCAGAGTGTAAACAACGCAAATATTCGTTGGAGTACACCCCACGCATTGTATGAGTTAAATTTTAAGAGCTGTGATTATTTCCAAATTTTACAAAAACTTTTGAGTTTAGGAGAAATAAGTCGTTATCGAAAGAGAGGTGGTTTTTAAAGATGCGATTTTATTTGTTGAACTATAGCAAGCGTGTTGATAAGAGGGTATAAGTACTCCTACAAATTGCCGCTTTTCTACTTCAGCCGATTCGGAATCCACCACCCGAAAAACGCTTTTACCGATGCATTTGCCACTGTCTGCTACTAGTCCCACGGCATCAAAACATTTTTGCTTGTCCTCGCACTTCTTGTCGCACTGTTCTGGTGACCGAGGTGGCCAAAAAGAATCCACAGTTGATTTCCAACTTTCTCGATGAGCATTTGGAGGGACTGAAACGCCCGGCCAGTCTTCCTAATCTTCCTTCTCTACCTGATAGAGATTCTACCAAAACTAAAGGTGCCATCCCATGCTTTTTTTGATTGAATCTAGGCACGTTAGAATGTGTCTGTCGAACGTCAGTTTCACTACATTTGTATCCTGTTTGCATCCATGAAATGAGTAAGGTACTAAACTTCTGCTTGGAGTAGTTACCTGTTTGGCAATTAATTCCACGGGCATATGCTATGAATTTGTCCTAAAATCTACTGGTAGATTGGCGAAAAGTTTCCATAAGTTGCGGCTACTGTAAGGAGTCTTTCAAGGCTAGTCCAGGTCTCGATCTCACAGCAGAAATTCTTTGCCCTGAATGCAAAAATGTCTCGGCTGTGACACCGCGCTTTCCACGTCGTATGACCAGACAGTACATCCTCTATGGTCTCTTTCTTCTCCTTGTTTCCTCTGCAATAACGGTGAGTCTTTTCTGCCTACCGATGACAGTCATGCTTGAAGACAAATTTACCTTATTTAAGAACACGGTGTCAGACGATTTGCAAACTCTTCTTGACAGCATTAAAAAGTGGCAAAGTAATTTGTGTTCGGTAAAATCTTGAGGTACTTTTACATAGAACAACATTTAAGATTCTTTATCACTTCATATAACATCGCGAATTTAATAATCAAAATTGTGCACACTTGACCCAGTCCTTAACAAGTTTACTAACAAGATCTCAGAATAAGGTCGAACAGCACAGTTACCCAGACGTTTTATTGTTCTGCAAATGCACTAACACTGGCACAACCAAACTGACGTCTAAATGTCGCTCAAAAACGAGGAAATCGTAGCAATCCTCATGCCGATAACACACCATCTAAATTATTGCATTGAATTTAAGCAATTTACAGTAGCAGCTTTTGGAAAGTGCTGAAGAACACTTGTGAAATTGGAAAGCTACATTTAGTTGCCTAGCAGACTGTATTTTTGAGTTTTCAACTGCTGAATTTTCTTAAATTGTTAATGTTCTCTAAGCTTCCAAAGGATAAGTTAATGTCGGAAAAGTACTTGGATTTTGATTTTTCGCTTTACACCAGTATCATTCCGTTTTATTTGCAGCTGGGATCCTATTTCAATCGTGAGTACAACAGTGGCGTATACTGCATGACAGTGGGTAAGTCAGATGAATTTCTTTCATCTTGGCACACCTATGGCGAGACCGATTATTGACGCAAATGAAGACGGCGTATAGACGGATAAAGGTCTAAGAAATAGTCCGCGAATATCAGTAGGTTCACATCACAAAGCGTCCAATCTGGCAGTTGTTGTAGAACTTTAATTCAAACCAATATGGTTTAGCCGGCTTCTGGTTCGTGGAATTTTTTAGCAGCATATAAAATTAAAAGAAAATCCAAAATCACAAAGTACGCCTAGATGAACCGAAGTAGGAACCAATTTCGTACAGTAAAAGGTCCTCTGTCCATCGGTAAATATAACTACTGAAAATAGTGCACAATCAAATACTCCTATTTTGTAGGTCTTTTTGTGGTTGGTGCAGTACTGCTACTCCAAGCCTTGCTCTATTGCACAATGCCCATAAGCACGATCATATCAGGAGCTGTTGGAGTTGACTGAAGCCGGCTCTCCTCTCTCAACAGTCCGTCCAAAACTTATTCATTTTTTCATTGCTGAGGATTCACAATGAACTACCGCTGTTTTAGCCTTGTTACTACTAGTAATACGGATGAATCCGCAAACCTCAGATCATATCTAAGTATTGGAAGGTGAAAGACCGAGGGTTCGATCTGATCCAACTATGAAACAATGCTTTTGTGGATAGACCGATCACGATTGTGGGACGCTGACATACTCCAAAGGAAATCATTTCAAAAACAAGGTACTACTTCCACTTCAGTCCTAGGCTTACTGATCCGACAAAAGAATTTACCAATTCAATGGCGATGATCCATCAAGTTTAGTGTAATCTACTTTTGGGGGACTGCAGAACATGTCGTTTCCATAGAACGCCTTTGAACAGATGTTGGAAGTGAAACAAAAATCCGCTTCCTTAACAAAACATCTCAGCTTTGTGAGTACTAGCTAAGTGTGCAACTCTGATCACCTTAGACAGCCCAGAAACAAATGTTCCAACATCGCCAATGAAATCAGTCGCAAAATTGATGTCATTCCCGCCTGTCAGTGCCGTGAGATGATTAATCGAAGGGATGAAGAGCCCAGTCTTCATCCGGAGATTTGTTCAAATATTTGATCTCGTTCCCAGAAATCGTACTCTTCGATGCGGACGAAGAGTACGAACTATGTTGCAGGCATAAAGCGATAAATAACCACTTACCAACCAGTTTAACATCCGCAACCCAGGGTAGCAGAATATTCACAATTAGGGACCGTCAAGATAAGCGATTTTAATGAGTGACAAATAGATCATCTGCAAATCAAGGTGTTGCGTTTACTTAGAAAAGGCTGTACCTGCAATCGTTTCGAAAGAGGGTTACATATACGCATGACCCGTTTTCGAAGTGTAAAAACACTTAATGAGTCCGCGGTTTCAAAAAACAACACTCATTGTAAGCGAAAACAGCGAATCACGGTACGAGCCTGTCATTTAATAAATATGTATTTTGCAAACATTAGCGAGCATGATGAGAAGTGAGATGCAAAAAAAGAACAAATAATGAACCAAAAGGTAGAAGACAATAATGGAAAGACTTGACAACACGAAAGTAGCGGTGACAAAGCCTGTGTGGTGACCACATAATGACTATCATCGAGACTGGAAGATGCGGTGGAGGGAGGAGACGACTTTTGAAAGGAGGGGACGCCCCTCGCCATCTAGGTGTGTGTACTGAGTTCTGGAAGCCGATGGCCCACCTTCGCTACCGATGGAGGGGGGATTGAACTCAAACATGGCGTTCATCTTCTCCTCGGAGAACTCCACAATCGGCTGATCGGGACTAAAGGTCTGATCTACCCTCAGTTCGTCTTGATCTAAAGAAAACGAACAACAGATGTTTTGAATATAAACACACCAGTAGCTAAAACGACTCAAAACACAGATATGTGTCTATCTAACGCAGTTGTACATCCACAATTCAGGTGCATCCTGTCAATCAAATTGAAGTTGAATGGCATTATGCATAACTGCACATTTTTCTGCACAAAATTTTTTAGCACTGTGTCCATTCAATACTGCTATAATAGCTTTCCAGATCCCTGTGCGCATGCAATAAAATTACGTTATGGTGTTTCCGGACAAAAGTTACTAAGACAACCAACTGATATTCAGTTTTCTTCTCTTCGAATGCCATTCAATCCTTTGCACTAACTCGTGCTCAAATCCTCCTGCGACTTAGTACACTTAAAATACATTTTAGAATCTTATCCATCACGGAAGAAACAAGCCTTTCCAAGCATAAAAAGTGGATCTCAGTTAACTGTGCAATAACCTATCCAATAAACATGAAAGAGACAAATTGCGAGCTGGAGCAGGCATCGCTCTTAAATGGTCTCACTACTTGGACTGGAAAGGAAGGGCAACAAAACCAACTGCTCTTATTGAAAATGACCAAATCCATTTTAAATGAAGGCAGTTCTTAGTCTCACTCATGCCGAGGCTAAGTAATAAAAAACAATGGTACTGCTTCCATCATAATCGAGTTGGAATTCGTTAGAGCAAGCAGATGTCCCTAGCGGCCAATGCAAGAGACGGTTTTATTTGATAGAGAAGACAAACTAGGGTATCTACCTTCAAGAGTTTGGGAGCCAGAGGGTGATTTGACCTGCCTTTCGAGTGGGTTACGATGGGTAGCGGGGTCAGAGATGGTCGCGTTCCGTGCAAATCGGCGCGTCCTGCCCAGAGTCCGCTCTGGGTGCGAGAGACAAGGTAGACAAACAATTTTGTAAGTTTTTTTTTAAAAAAATGGAACGACTGCATAAAGCTTCTTCGATTTCATTTGTTAAACCAATCAGCCCTACCGCCTCTCATCTCTTCCCAACGAGACACAAGTCAGTCCCAAACTACACTTCCAGACAACGTTTGTCTCTAGAGGACAAGGGAAAAATAAACTTTCACATCCTCTACTTCTTCCTCGCCTTAAATCGAAT